ATATATATATATATATATATATATATGTCCCGTATCACCTTCACAATCTCTCGTGAGGACGTAGAGCGGATTGAGATGAACACAAAAGTACTATACCATTTTGCGATATGCGCAATAATAATCGAGATATTAATTAAAAAAGATTGGTGAATAATAATGCGCGATATGGTAGATGAGCTGCAATTGCGCCGTCTGCCGTTGTATACTTGTACATTAAATCAAACTGAACAAAAAAGTCCTCTACCATTTTGCAAATAACAATATAAATATTTTTAGATATTAATTAAAGAAAATTTGTGCATTATGGCATATATAATTGTACATAATCATGTAACAATTTTCTTTGATTAATATCTAAAAATCTATGTTGTCATTTGCAAAATGGTAAAGGACTTTTTTATTCAGTTTGACTTAATGTATAAGTATACAACGGTAAACGGCGCAATTGCAGCTGATCTACCATATCGCGCATTACCATTCACCAATCTTTTTTAATTAATATCTTGACTATTATTGCGAATATCGCAAAATGGTATAGGACTTTTGTGTTCATCTCAATCCGCTCTATGTCCTCACGAGAGATTGTGAAGGTGATACGAGACACCCTGTGTATATATATATGTTTCTTTTTTTACACAAACGTGCGCGTCGCGTTTGTATAAAACATGTATCACGAACGTGTAAACGATGTAAATGGCCACGCTTGCTGATATGATCGCGTCTCAATTCAGCGAGGAATCATAATGAAATCAAGAAGTCGGCTGATTAAAGAACAAAGAGATCTAAGAAGCGAGATATTGAGCACGACTTGTTTAGAGCTAGATCGTTATAAAGAATATGAAGCAGGTATCATTTTGGATTCTCCATGAAGTGTTAGTACACATGCCTTAAATGGAGTTAGCTTATGGCTCGCGGCTCTTACCGCCGCGAGGAAACATCGCTACAGAATGAGAAACGATTAACACTCACGCACCAATAATTAATTAGGTGCTCTGACGGCAGGAAGGCAAGTTTCTTTTGTTGCGATACCGTAACGCCTCCAATTACGCGTTCGTATGAATGCATGCCACGTTAAAATAGATATTAAGATTATAATATATACTTTAGTTAAAATCTAAAGTTCTCTCTCACTTTCTCGAAGGAACGAAGACGACAGACCGAAGATTATAACTACGAGTCGCACTACCAATGTCAAAACGCTGATGTAAGAACTGCGCATCGACACTTCTGGACAGAGAAAACAAATCACCATCCAACGCAATGTTCACGGACAAACCTACGATCGTCCTTCGACATCGATACATCGATATCTTTATTCACATGCGCAATCGTCTCCGTTACCGTAACGTAATAACCTACCTTTTTTAAAGAAAAGATGAAAAAGATGCCAAGTTCACACGCTTGCCTGCACGAGTGGAATTATACAAAAATTAATATTTCTATAAAAAATATTTTATTTATAAAATAACACATTTAAAAATGTTAATAAGAAATATTGTTGTTTAAACTTCTATCTTTTACAAAAAACATGATATCAGGTAGTTAGGCTAAGTGAAAATAATTCACGTATTTCTTTACATGGATAGAATTATATAAAAGCAAATGTGTTCATATATGAAATATTTTACATATATATTTTCAAAAAACAAATCCAAAGACGTTAAAACATAATATTATTTAAATTTCTATTTTCTACAAAAGGGATGTTAAAAAACAATTAGATCAAACAAAAATATCATTGCGTATATAACAGCTTTATGTATATTCACACCACATGTGTAACTATTGACTTCTTTTTATTGGTAACCATGTAAAAATTAAAATAAAATAAAATTAAGAGTCACACAAAAAACACTTGACGTGCTTGGGTATATAAATAACTTAAATATATTTTCCAAATAATAAGATTTGAAAAATGGCAAATAAGGAGCAAACACGGATGTCTTAGTGCTATTAGATATTAATACTATTATTTTAATATTAATATTATAGTTGGACGATAATATATCCAGCATGTTAAACGCTCATATCGAAATTTCTTCGATTATCATACGCGGCGAATCAACCTTCCACACTTAGACCGAT